ACCTTAACGCCACCAGGCACCTTCCCTGCGCTCCCTCATGAGCTGGGTGTTTGGTTTCTGCCAAAACAAAAACAAATCATAACTGATAAGGAGCAGTGAGAGAGCTGCCAGCAAGGCAGTGTCACAGGGAGACACGGTTCTTGCAGGAGTTCGTGGGCTTCCCGTTCAGCCTCGCGTTTGGGTGCACGTGCCCTTCGGAACGTGCCACGGGAAGAGACACCACACCAGCCCTCTCTTAGAGAAGCAGTCCTACAGGAACACCAAGCTTGGCTGTCTAACTCCAAGTTTCAGGCTACTTGTGTAATCGGGGTCAGATAGTAAGATGAGAGAGACGGTGGGTCTCGTCATACCTGAACCTGCTTGTCCTTAGGTTAATTTCGAGGTGTGAAGTAACACCCTAGAGGAGTGGCAGCTTGAAGAACTCTCTGTCTGCTTTTCTGCTCCTTCTTCAGGGTTTGAGGCTTGGTGTTGGTGATCAGCCTAGGATCCCTCCCAGGAACGTTTCTAGTACTGGTATGTGTAGGTGGAAGCTTGTATGTCATGTGAGCCCACAGTACTTGATAGCTTTTCAAAAGTACAAATTGCCAGAGACAGTCCAACCCCTGTTGGACATCAGCTTCCACTCCTAAATGTCCAAGGTAAGGAAAATCAAATACTTCAATCTCTGAAAAGTCATTTATTTAAAAAAAAAAAAAAAAAAAAAAAAAAAAAAAACAAAAAAAAAAAAAGTAAAACTGGGTGCTGTGTGTGGTGGTGGTGTCCCCAGTACAAGAAAGACATTGAGAAACTGGGGCGAGTCCAGTGGAGGGCAGTCAGGATGCCCAGGAGGCTGAGAGCTGGGCTTGGTTTGGGTGGAGAAGTGGCCACTGAAGGGCAGAGAGGATTCACTGGCTGCTTTCAGCTGCTTAAGGGGTGGTAAAGAGACAATGGAGCCACTCTCCTTGGAGTTGGAAAATGAAGGACAAAGGGCAATGACACAAGTTGCCTCAAGGGAAATTCCAGGTAGGGGTAAGGGAAAACATCTTCACCAAAGCCCTGAGCCATGTACCATAGCTGGGACATTAAGTGGCCTGGAGCAGGGGACTGGGACTGGACCGTTGGCCTCCAGAGGTCCTTGCCAACCCAAATTACTCTGAAGTGGAATTCATCCAAATCTAAACACTTCTAAGTATCTGCTAAACTGGAGAAGAACAGAACCAGAAGCAAAGGCTGGGTTGTGTCCTGCTTGCTTCCCACCGGGATCAGCCCCCTCGTTGTGGTCAGCAGATCTGCTCCCCAGCCAGCTGGTCCACAGACTGTATCCTTTCAAGGTGTTATCCTGTTCCAGGTGCACAACTTTCCCTTTGCCCTTGGCTCTCTCTGATAAAAGCTTAAGAAAGCCTTATTTTGGGATGAAGTGCAACAGGATCTTATCAAAACCTCAGACTTTGTCTAAAGTCTTATTATGGCTGCATGATGACAAGATTATGTTAACGCCCTTGATTTCCTGGGCTGATTTATTTTATCAGAACTAACACAGCACCTCTCTAAAGGAGCCTTGTGCAGGACAGGCTAGAAAAGTGAGTCCTAGTGATTCTGTGTTGTTTTTACCGTGTGAACAGCTTACCTGTGAAGAGAGGAGGTAATCTCTTCAAAGGTTTGCTTCACATTAAACATCTAATAGTAAGAAATGGGCAAAAGGGATTTCTTTGCACGTACATGTTTTCAGATGATTAGTGTCACATAGTTATATATCCCAAACCAAGCTGTTGCTTAGGTTTTTTTTTTCATGGCATGCAGTAAGTAATTGCAACTTCTCATTACCAGATTAACATTTTGGGCCTGTTGTAACACCTGACTTAATTGGATAGTGACGGGACAGGGGATGAAAAGTACCTCTGCAGATTCATATGTCACACAAGAGGGGCCAGGAGTGAGACCTTGCTTCATGCGCTGCAGATAGAGCGGTTTCCGAAGCTTTAGCTAACAAAGGACTCATCTGTCATATTTGGGGCTTTCACATCTTTTTGGAGTCGCATTACAATGGGGGAGTCAAGCAAGCGAAGGATTAAAAGTTTCTGTAGATGTTGAGTAACTTTGTTGAGTGCTTGTTATTTTAAGTGCCTCCCAGTTCCAACAGAAATAGAACGAGCCTGTTTTTCCCCAATAGCTTGTTTGTACTGAAAAAGATGATAGCATGGCTGTCTGTCTCTCAAATGGAAAACAGATCTGGAGCACAGCTTGCTTCATTTAGAGAGCAGCGTGGCCAAATCTTCCTTCAGATATATGCAAAGCTGGTGGAAATTTGCCAATTGCAGCTGAAGGAAGGAATTGATGGCTTTTTGATACAGCTATTGTATTTGAAGAGTTAACCTTTTTTGTTAATTTATGCAATTTCCATGTTAACCAGTGATTATCCTTCTAGGTTATCCTTTTTTTTCCCCAGCATTTGAGGTGACACGGCTTTAGACAGAAGGAGACCATTTCTAATTTTTCTTAATTTAACTCCATTGACAGAACCCAAGTTAGCTTATCAGGGCTGAGCATGTATTAAAGAATATTTAGCGCAAATCTGTGTTGCATGTACAGAAACATAATAGCTGAAGAGGAGATTCAGTCAGCTAGGCAAAGAGCAAAGCAGTTTGCTGGGACCTCTCACCTAGAGTCAAACATCTCCTGTAATATGGCAGCAAAAAAGACTTTGTCCTTTTTTTGTCAGGAGTGCACCAGCCTGTCCCCGGTCCCCAGCTTACTGACGTGAGGGCTGGGCGTTGGCATAGCTAGGTGTTATTTTTTATCTTTCCTTACAAGGTGGAGAACATGAGCAACACTTGTATTGCATCGCTGAGCAAGAAAGATTGCAATCCATAAAAAAGCCTGTGTTGGCATCCTTGTGACTCTCTTAACTTTCATTTTCTGCAGCTTTTTACTTGGACATCTGCCGATCCTTTGGAGAATGGTGAGGAAAAGGGAGTTTATGAATGATGTCTTCCTGCAGTGGTAAGTTGAGACATGTCAGTAACATCGATTGGGGTAGCCCTGTAGGACAAGTTGGGAAATCAAGGCACAGAGGCCCTGAATTACGTATTTAGTGTCATTCAGAAGGTTGGTTGATGAGCTAGAGAGAGAGCGTTTCTCTTTCTCTTAATGGCTTTGGTTGCTGAAGACTGCAGTAGTTCCCAGTACATGCCGCTTTGGTCCTTTGACCTTAGGTCTGAACTGTTACATGTTGGTGGTTGGTACCATAATTTTGGTGTTTTTTTCCTTCTCTTCTTGTAGGGTGGAGAAATATGGACCTATTGTACGGTTTAATGCATTTCACAGAGTCTCAGTAATGGTTATGAGTCCTGAAGGAGTGAAGGTACTGCAAAATAAAGCCAAATTGACAGTGGGGATTGGCCTGTCCCTCCAGAAAGAACAAAGGCCCTGATGTTCAGGGCAGCACAATGCAGATGGTCTGTGCCTGCAGAGAGGGCGGCTCTGGCCAGGTTAGGAGGTTGAGGTGCTCTGCTTTCTGAGCTGTCCTGATTTTCTTTCTTGATCAGTTGATTTACTTTGTTACCTTTATCTGAACAGCAGATAGAGCAAGCATCCACCATTTCTGAAAAGCAGACTCTGCAAGAGCTTATCTCAAATGAGTGAGGCACAAGAGACTGAATTTCTTCCTCTAAATCTTTGCAATAACCATGGAGGGAGATTTCAGGTCACTGGGCAGAAAATGCTAGAGGCATGCAAAGCAAGCTAGCACCACAGGAACTGGGGAATCAGGGCACACCAAATAATTCATCAGGTCTTCAGACTCTTGCTACAGGAGGAGAAGAGTGGCTTTTTATGTTTTGTCTGGGAAATGGATTGCACTCAGTATTTGCTGACCTGAGATTTGATTTTAGGAATTCTTGATGTCACCACAGTACCCAAAGGATCGGCTAGTGTATGGGCGTATGTTTGACATATTTGGTGAGAGGTAGGTGTAACCTGTCTGAAGCCATTGTGATCTGAAAATAAGTGAGAGATTAATAACATTACAGGCTTATTTTGACTTAGACCATTTACCTTAGCATGGGGATTAATGACTAATTCCAGACATATGCAAGCAGCATGTACCTATTAAATTATGTGTCAAGTCAAATGTCTTCCCAGTCCAGGAGGAGGTTATATTGAATTTCTTTTACCTTGAACATATGTTCCCCCCCCATGGATGTTCAGTTAGTCTCAAAATAGTTTGCTCAAGGCCATCATCAAACCTCTCACTTAGATTTTAGAGCACTGAATTATTATTTGATGCATGGGAGTTTCCAGCTCCTAAGTTCAATAACAAAAAAGGTGATTTCTGTCTGATAGCCTGAAGCTTTTAAAAATATAATAATCCAGTTATTATATTAATTATTTGCATAACAGCTGTAATACTGTAATGAACCAGCATCTTATTGGACTCAGCAGTCCACAGTTACCAGCCAAAACATATCTGAAGTTCAGTTGTTGTCCACAGTGATGCAACGATTGTGTACTTGAAGCAGCACAGTGCTCCCTACACATGGGAAAAGTACAAGAATGTCCATGTGGAAGAGTTGTCTCTGTGACTACACAGTGTCCAGCTGGCTCCCTTGCTGAAAACTGTTCCTTTCCTTGTTTTCCTAAATGCTAGGTTTCTAGGGAATGGCTTGATAACTGTTTGCAACCATGAGCACTGGCACAAGCAGCGGAGGATAATGGATCCGGCTTTCAGCCGAACGTAAGGCAAATATCTCTGGGATGATGTAACTGTTATTTCTACTGTATTTTTATGATTTTTCCCTGTCATTGATCCATTATGTAATATTTAGAAAGAGAAAAAAAAAAACATTCAGTGCCAAAATCACGTTTTACTTAGAGTCCAACGTACCATTTCCACGACAAGTACAGTTTGACCAGACCTCCCAAGGGGCAGTGACGCCCATATGAGCTCAGTGATGGCAGGAGGGTCCCAGCGCTGCATATCCAGGAGTATGGTGATGGCTGCCTTATCCTGTTGGAAAACAGACCTCAGGGATTTCACGTGGGCAAGCCTCATCATTCACCTGTGTGATTCCCTGTGGGAGATACGATGTGATTGATAAGCAATGGGTTGGTCTGGTTTGCTTGTGTATCTCAATGCATTGCATTTAGGGTGTGAAGTCTGTTTGCTTTGGCATGCACAGGCCAAAGACTTTTGCCACAACAGCCGTTGTTTACATGGCAGGGCTGCTATAAGAACAAGATAGCTCATTTTGTCGTTAGCTTTTTAAAGTCTTAAGGCAAATTTACTATAAATAAAAAAAAAAAAAATTACAGTTTTCTATGGAAAATAATGAAGATAATTTTGCCTGAGCAAAGATGTCCTCTCCAGAGCCCCCATCACTCATTTTTATTGATTGTTCAGCTACCTGATTGGTCTGATGGATGCTTTTAATGAAAAAGCAGAGGAGCTGATGGAGAAGCTAGAGGAAAAGGCAGATGGAAAGAAAGAGGTTAGCATGCTGATGATGATGAACCGGGTGATTCTGGATATCATTGCAAAGGTACCAGCTGTCTGCTTTCTTGTTTCCTTATGACTGGCAGGAGGGAATGGAAGCAATGGGTAACAGCAGGAGGACAGAATCAGGAGCTGGAGCCAGGGAACAAGACCTTTACCCAGCAGTGCCAGAATAGCTGAAGGACTAGTTGTACCAATTCCATTCAGGCTGAGCCATAGGAAGGGCAGTTAGGGAAGGGTCTGCACAGTCTAGATGTGGCCTGCAGGATGGCGACACTTTGCAAAAGCGCTTGCAGCCTCATACCTCCCACCCCTCTGTGCCAAAAGGGGCACACCAGTGCTCTTACAAGTGTGCATGTTGGATTATTACCACTATATGTCAGCCTGAAACCCTTATGCTGGGTTTTCCCTTCTCTATGTAAAACAGTTTGGGATGAATGGAGAGTAATAGTGAATTATTAATCCCCCCAAATAAGGAGGAAGCCTAATGTAGATATTACCCTTCCCTCTAAGCCTCCTGCAAGGCAGGATCTAGCCTGAGGTATTTGTAGGGGGAAAGGTGGTGGTATGAGGCTGACCAGCTCTTTCACCCCAGCTCCAGGGAGCCAGGAGGATGCAGCAAATTGTGTTTTTCTCTCCCACTCCTCAGGTAGGCTTTGGCTTGGAATTAAACACACTGAGTGATGACCAGACACCTTTCCCACGCGCTGTGACTGTGATTTTGGAGGGAATGAATAAGGCGCGCATCCCCTTCGTGCAGGTCTGTATGCTCCTCACTTTGGTCCTCTCTACTTGCGTCCAGCTGGTGCCTCTGCTCCTGCAGAAGTTAGTGGGCTGGAGCTGTGCAAGGCCCATGTACAACAGGGAAACAGTCATCAGTAGTGCTTTCCCTCCAACACGCATCAAGATAAAATTTGTTAGTGCTTTAAAACACTTGCAAAATTAACATTAACATTTAATGCTTCATTTCTGTCTTTCTGCCTTCTCTTAAAAAAGTGTCTTCTTCTTATATGGTTTTACACTTTCACACCCATCACTGCAAAAAATTGAGATTTTTGCCATTTGTCCAAGAAGGATGGCAACCTTCACTCAAGGTGGAAGAAATGTGAACATTCTTACCATTAAAAAATTATAATTTTGATCTGAATTCATATACTAGGAAATTATGTATGTAATATGAAATATATTTAAGTTAAACATCATTCCACAGTTTCCTGTGAAATCTGTTCAGGCTTTTAAAGCTCCTGTTTTCCTTTTGAGGCCCAGAAGTGAGATTCTGTATTGCATGCTGTGGTTTTTTCCATGGAGAGGTGAGGAATTTTGCTCGTGGTGCCCAAACATCAGCTCTGACAAGGCAGGACATCAGCATGCACAGATTGAAATATTTCTTATTTCAGCCCAAACCCTTCACTTTGGGAACGTTTGCTTTGTTCTGTGGAGAGCAGACATTCTTGTGACAAATGTCGTTTAACAAAAAAAAAGTGCTTGCCTGAAAAATAAAACTGGCAATATTTTTTTACCAGCAAAAGGAATAAAATGACTGAAGAAATTCTGTATTCAGTACATGGCAGGGCAACAGAAACTGGTAAAGGAGGTCAAGGAGAGCGTGAGGCTGCTGCGGCGTGTGGCGAAGGAGTGCATTGACGAGAGGAGAAAGGCCATCCAGGAGGGGAAGGAGGCCACGCGGGATATTCTTACGCAAATACTGAAAGGAGATGGTAGGGGACACATTGCTGTTTGAGTGAATTTCTCTGTGGTATGTTTTGCTGTGAGATTCAAGGAGGATTGTTTTGGGGATCTGAACTTTGATTCTCCTTTTTAATGTCTTTTTCACACTGACGATAGTGAGAATTGCTTTGAAAATTCCCTGGTTTTTTTGTATTGGATCAAATATTGGTCACAAGTGACCACTGCATTGCCTGCTCAGCATCCGCTCACGATGCCACCTCAGAAAAAATGTGCAAAACAAGGCAGAGCATTCTGGCTGTTCCAGCTGGGGCACAGGGGCGTTTTCTAATCTCGTTTGCTCTTCTCTCTTGACAGCTCTGGAGAAAACTAGAGATGATGAAAACCTTCTGGATAACTTTATCACTTTCTTTGCTGCAGGTTAGTAACTATTTTACTGCTTGGATATGTTATGTGGGAAGCTGTACTCATTCTTGGGCCATCTGCAGGGTCATGATTAATGTCCTTGCTGACTCCTTGTGATGCTACTGTAACCAGGAGTCGCTTAGTTGGAAGACACCAGTATTACACTGGATGATACATGAGGTAAACAACGTAGAAAGATTCATCTTGCAAGTCAGTGGAATTTAGGTTCCTAAGAAAGTGAGGTCAAAACACTGCATTTTGGCAAGAGAGACATTATTGCAACAAATACTTCTTTGCAGAAGTCTGTTTTCTGTAATGCTTTAAAATAATACATATGCCTATCAATGAGAAAGTGAAAACTATCCACATAAAGCAAACATTTCAAAGGCAGATGGTTAGAAGCTCTGTTTTCCTTCAAAACCAATGAATACTTGCTTTTTGGCAGAACCGTGTGTCCCATCGTGTGACAAGGCAAATACTGAACCTTACTGTCTCTTCTGTTAGGGAGCTCAAAACCAGTAATGCAGCCACTGCAACTCTGAGTTGAGCAAGATGGCTTATATCTTTACCAGCTATGTCTTGTTCTTGTCATTCTTGAAAGCTCCTTACTTAGAATTTAGTCTCTTTTAGTGTTTCCTTTAATTTCTATCATACTTGAAATAAAACATTCAGGGCCTGGAGTTTTAAAGTTTCTTGTTCACAGTCACACTAGTAGACCATCTTTGTATCGTGGTATTATTTCATAGTAACCTTTAAACTGATTTTTGTTGTTGTTAGGTCATGAAACAACTGCCAATCAGTTGTCCTTTACAATAATGGCACTGGCTCAGCATCCTGAAATACTGCAAAGGTACGTGCACTCCAGTTTGCAAACCCAGCTTGCTGTTAATTTCATTACAAGGATTATTAAAAAGCCAGGGTCAATTCACAATAAATTCTAACCTCCCTTCCAAAATAAACAGTTTCATAGTCCCAATATATCTAAAATTTTAAAAATATTAAGAATAATTATTTCAATTCTATATAGGTGATTTTTTTTCAAAGCCTTTATACATACTGGTCCTGAATCCTACCTGATTCAGCTGCACTGTGTGCACAGTGCTCCATCCTGATAGGAGGCACAAGTTCAGGCAGGCTGGCTGGGAATCAGTAGGCATTTTGCCTGAGGATGGGAGTCAAAGTCCAACTCAGTGTCTGGAAAGTAAAAAATGGGATTTATCAACTTGCCTAGCAAGAAATGGGTGTCTGCAGCTAGCATTTTTTAATTTATCTGCAGGCTTCAGGCTGAAGTGGATGATGTTCTTGGTGCCAAGAGAGACATTGACTATGAGGATCTTGGCAAACTCACCTACTTATCACAGGTACTGTAGGAGTGAGGTAAAATACCAGTCAGAGCTGTTTGGTAGCACCTTTGCCATGTCATGGAGTAGCCCCACACTTTTAAAATTTAAAGAACAATGCCAATATTTGGTCTGGATGGCATTTGTCCCCAGAGATTCAGCAAGCAGGTACCGTGAGCCATTTGCAGCAGCCTGGCCATGTTGGGAAGGATGCTACTCAAATTTCTTTCCAGAATCCCACACAAATCCTTCACTGCTTTCCTTAATTGTTACCAAGCTGGGAGCTGGAACAGAGTTGCTTAATCCCTACCTGCTTAAGCTGAAACCATAGCCGTATTTTAAGAAAGGTTTGCAACTTCGAGCCCAACCTTTGTGTGAGTCCCACGCACTTCCCAAGCTCTCAGCTCTATTTTTGTTTGATTATTAAAGCATTTCCAGCTATGATCTCACCATGCACCATGAATGCAGCAGGATTTGAGGACATCCAAAAATAATGGCTAGTTTTTGTAATTTCATTTTTTTATTTTTTATTCAGTCTTGAAACCTCCTTCAGTCACTCGGGGCAGGGGGAAAAGAGAGTTTGGTCCTAAAAGAGGTCTTGTGTATAGAAAGGCTGGTTGGTAATGAACTGCAAAGCCAGGTCTTGGCTACTCGCCAGTGTTTGTGTTGCATATTTTTTTTTACCAGTAGCCCTCAGGAGAGGTGGAATCACAATCCTGGCAACTCTTCTCCTGCTTAAATTTCCCTGGGATTTTAGTAGTCTGCCATGATCGCTTTTCTCTTAAACTGCCCATCTGAGGTGGGTGACGGTGTTTTACCATTTGCCATAGCCCATCCTACAAGTCACTGTGCTTTGACAGCAGATGTATTTCAGATGTGTATTTCTCATAAGGAAAAAGCATCTCTCTGTGATTACAGAAATCAGCAGATTTCCTTAGGCTTCTCCAAACACCATCACAATTATGCCACTCCAATTAGGATGAGGTATCTAAGCCTTTCAGTTTTAAGACAGATCACGTGAGAGCCTTTCAAAGCAGACTGTTTATTTAAGAGAACAAGCTTGGATCTGTACAACCAAAATCACAGTCGCCCTTGGTCAGAGCCAGTCCATCACTGGAGTATCAGAGTCCATGGGACTTCTCTCCTTCACTCAGGCAATTCTGAATCCTTTTGTCCACGCTTCTTTTTCATTAGTCCACTCGTACATACATGCCATTAATTGCATTTGCAGTGCGGTACTAATGTGCACTGTTAATTAGGATTTGCTTTGATGAAAGAAGCCATTCTTACAGCTCACTGCCACCAAAAGAAGTCTCATTCCATTTTTTATCACTGTTCCCTATTAATTTTCCTTTGCCAGGTTGTTTTTTGTCACTTTGGTGCTCTGACCTAGCTCAGCTCCCTGAGCAGCAGGAGCAGGACAAAGGCAGGAGCAAGAGCACAGTTCTGAGAGTGGGAAGGAGGTGGGAACAACCACCCAGCCTTGTGGCAGCCGGTGCCGAGAACAGCTCACCAGGGGCATGAGACTTTGCTCTTAGATATTTCCTTTGAATTTGCTTCCCAGTATTTTTTCACTTAGTTGTTGACCTGACTTGAGGTGTTAGATCTGTTCAGTGCATGGTATCTCTTGTGGTTTTTGCTTCTTTTTCTCTATGTTTTACCAGTCATAAGAAAGAACCAGGCCTGAAGGAGCTGACTTAGCCATGTATTTTGCCCACAGGAATCCAAGGCAGATACACCAGCATCTTCCACAAGTCAAAAGTCCCATTTAAGCAAAGCAAAAGGCCATAGGGAGGTAACTAATTGTATTTCTGTTTCCTACACTGTATTAACTAACTGACCTTTTGTGCTTTTCGCTGACACAGGTTTTGAAGGAATCGCTGCGGCTGTACCCACCCGTCCCGGGGACAATACGCTGGATGGAGAAGGAGCACGTCATCGAGAGTGTCAGAATTCCTGCAAACACGATGCTCATTGTGAGTCCCATCCACCTTTTAGCTGCTGCCGTTGATCCTAGTGTAATGGATCTGTGTATCAGAGGGACACAACCTTCCCTGGGCATATTTCTACTGGTCTCTCTGAAATTTTGGCTGAAACTGGGGTATGAATTGGGACTCTGGATCTGGCAGCTATGGTTTTGTACCTGTGACAGCAAAGAGGTGTTTTCAGTGTGCTGCTCCTGACTAACACAAACTCTTTCTTGGCAGTTCAGCACTTACATAATGGGAAGGATGGAAAGGTATTTCAAGGATCCACTCACATTCAATCCAGACCGATTTAGCAAAGATGCACCTAAGTGAGTTTCTTTTTATTCCCAGGTTATTAAATATGTATTAAGGAACCATTACAGTAAGAGATTTTAAGGGGAAAAAAAAGTAGAATAAAACTATTTTTCCATTCCAGTATGAGCAACAGTAAATCCCTATCCAAATGTAAATAGAGAGCAATAATGTGCAGCTTTTGTTCAGAAGTTCTTTAGACCACATGATACCTTACATAAAAGACCAATACCAATGTTATTTATATTGAGGTCAAACCTTTGGGCCAAAACTGGATTGAATATTTGCCTTAGTGCAATGCAGATATCCAGTGTGTGGCAGCCCTGGCCCCAGGATGCTTGAAGTGTTTCCATGCTGGAGAGGGGACACGGGGCTGAGGGTCAGAAGATGCTGTTCAGCCACGTGGACAGGCAGCCTAAGCCTAATCAGTACACAGGAGTGCGATAGGATGGACCAGTGACCTGAAGAGTTGGTGCTGATCCCTGCACTAACTACTTTGTGAATAAAGGGTTTTACTTCATCCTAAAGTTTGTCTGGTCTCCAGAATCAAATGCCCCTTCACTCACATGGTTCAGGGCTGCCTAAAGGAGCAATAATTGGGTAGATTGTTACATCCCCATGATGGGCTAGAGAGCATTTACAGTATGCTTTGACATTGAGCTTTGAAATAAGGTTTGCACACATCAAAACAGCTCTGTGAGCTGAGCCATATAGTAAGCAGAGATGATGAGGAAACTTGCTTTGGAGTTGTATTGCTCCTCTGAACAAAAAAAAAAATGTAAATTTTGAGATTGTCTTAACAAATCTGCTGTAGTTAGACCATTTTCTTGCTGCTGCGATGAAATATTTGCATGTTTCTTTACAACCAAGCTGTCAGAGTGACAATTTTGAACATTGTTCTTTGCAGGCCATATTACTGCTATTTTCCATTCTCTCTGGGACCCCGATCCTGCATCGGGCAGGTGTTTTCGCAGGTAAGCAGAGGCCTGGAACGATGCTTCATTAGTGGGCACTGGGCCAGCTCAGGGTGAGCTGGCTGTGGCTAGTGGTGGGGGACCAAAGGCCACACTAATGGTGCACTGGCCCCCTCCCTGCCATGCCCATGACAGGGCATGTCTCTCAAACGCTATCACATGAGCAGACATACATGTACCAAGCTGGTCCCACATCACCCATGCCCCCGTGCAGCCTAGGTGTCTGCAGCGGAGGACGGGGCAGCAGGCTGCTCTCCCTCTGGACTGTCCTGGGTCACCCAGCTTGAATCCAAACAGCTTGATGGGAATCAGAGTCAACATCCCTTTGCCAGCTGAGGTCAGACACAGCGGGGATGTGCAGGGGCTCTTAGGGACCATCCTGTGCCTGCAACTGGCAAAGTCAAGGCAGGGAAGCATCAGCTGGCAGAAGGGCACAAGCCAGGGACTGGCACTGAGAACATGAGGAGGGGGCTGTGTGGATGGGAGGAACAATTTAGTGATGCATGTGAGCATGGCAGAGAGCATTTCAGAAGGACAGTAGGAAGCCAGCTCTTCGGGTCTGTGCTGTGAGTTCATTGAAGCACCAGTGCTCAAATTCTTCAGGTTAAAAGTGCTTAGTTTTATACTCTGATTTCCAAAGTGGGGTTAACGCATAAACGCAAGGACCGACCTTAGTGCCTGTCAGTTGTCTTGAAATCCAGGAAGCCCCAGGTGACTCTGTTCTTCCTGCCCAAACTCAGCAGGCTGCATTAACAGAGTAACATTTAACTTTTAAATCTCTATATTGACAAAGCAGCATGACACAATACACTGATTGCAGTCTAAGCTGTATTTGCTGTTACTGATGATGAGTTTGTTTTTCTTCTTAACAGATGGAGGCAAAAGTGGTGTTGGCAAAACTGCTGCAGAGGTTTGAATTCCAGCTGGTACCAGGGCAGAGTTTTAAACTCTTGGATGGTATAACCTTCAGGCCACTAGATGGAGTAATATGTACATTAAAGCCAAGGAGCCCTGCAAGAGGCTGCCAGGCGTGACGGCTCGGGGAGGGGAGCATGACATGGTAGTAGTGGTAGTGTTTCTTCTGATTTTGAAGATCTTCACACTAATCTAAGGTTAGATTGTGCAGGCCCCTTTAGAATAGTCAGAGTACGAGTCAGAGTACTAGACTGAAATTTTTCCCAGCCTTCCTCAACATTTACTGAAGAAAACCTTAGGAGAGTCACTCTGGATATGTTTGAGCATCTTTGATCTGGGAGCGTACTGGGAATTGCAGAGTCTGTTATTTTCCTGGGGACTCTTTGTTTCTGACCAGACTTGTAAAAGAACATCCTTCCACTGTAGTGTGCTTGGAGCTTCACACAAACCTGAGCTCAAATGCCAGCTGATAGTTTCTGATAACTTGGCTTACAACACAATGTGGTCTAAGTAAGCACTTGTTTGGGGAATTTCATAGTACAGCTCAAGATTTGGGCTGAACATGGGAGGAGAAGTTTAGAGCTGTTCTCTTGGTCAAAGCAATTTTCCCATCCTTCCTCTAAATGAAGAATAATTGATAGGAGCAATCTGAAACAAAAATCAGAGACTGCGGTCACTACTTTTCCCTGTTGCTTCTGCCTCATTTTTCTTCATTGTCTCCTACTTTTCCTCCAGTATTTTTCAGAGTGTAGACTGCTAATCCATGTTGTAGAAGGGTGCTTTCCTGCTTCCTCCTGCCCCTCCCCACAGCACATGCTTTTTCTCCTGAGCTGCAATTCTTTTGGGAGGGTCTTACTGGCTTTATTTTAACCTGGTTCATTTTCCCCTTAGGGCTCCTCACAAAGCTACATGAACGCTTGGACCAGACAGTTTAGTAGGTGCTGTAAGGTTGGAAGTAAGTGCCTGGAACCGAATGCTGCTTAAAATTATATTGCCACTGAAGAAATGCCTGTGGAACTTGAGCCAGAGGCAGGAGAAGGTTCTGCATCCCGTTTTTCTGCAGCTTTGCCAAAACTGCTCACTGCCTGCAGGCTTGCGGTCTGGCTCTGCTAGGGAAAAAATGATCAGGTGAAAATGCCACCTTCTAGAAATAGGTGGGTACTTAGTATGAGGTTAGACCCTGAAATACAGGGAATTCAAGACATTTGGTGCTGCCACTGTTACTTCTTGCCTTTTTAAAATTAAAATGGCAAGAACCTGGTCTGTACACTGTCAAGTTCCTGTGGTGGTTTCCACACCAGGAGAGTAATGTCCCAGAGCTTCGCCTGGTTCTGCTACTGTTGTGTACCATCTCACCCAGTGCCACAGTGGGGGCTAACAGGCTAATAAGGTTGATGTGGCTTTTGATAACCTAAGCAATGTTATACAGTATGTTAATACTACTTACACTCAGAGGTACCAATACTTGTATTGCTAGGGAAGGTGTAGTCAGTCCATCTAGTGGTAGACCAGTTCTTCGGTCCCTCATGCTGGAGATGTGCTTATATCCTCAGCTGCCTTCTCAGCACAAATCCAAAACATAGCCTCATGCTAGGTACTGTGAAGAAAGTTAACTCTGTCTAAGCTGAAACCAGGACAACTTTAATAAAACCTGATTGGGAAAACTGAGGAGTCTCCAACTGATTGTGTGTTCCTGGGAGCTGATGCGGTCGGGAGCAGAGTGCTCTATGCCACTTGGGCTAGATGTGCTGGTGGCCTAAAAAAAGTCTGAAGCCTGAGCATTTATCAAAGGGAGGGAAGCATCTTGGTGATGTAGGGAGTGGTGGGGAAGGCTGTGAACAGCACACAGCTTGACAGACACACTGGCAAATCGTGCTGTGGAAAGGTGAGATGCCACCATGACAGCTCTCCACGCTGCCCTGATAATGAATGAGTTGAGATGCATTAGTCACACAACTATGTATTCCCTTCTGCTACCTCTGCAATGGGGACAGGCACCTCCAAGGAGGGCTCAAGGAGTGTAGCAGCATGTTAAAACCCTGCAGCAAGTTTTGTCAGATCTCATCTGCCTGAGACCAGAGCCTCCTGCCTGCTCTGGGTTTATTGCCCTCAGAGATGCTCTTCCTGCTCTCTCTGCAGCTATGCAGCTCTCCAGGGACTGCTGACACAGGCCTTTTTCCTGTTCCTGCACCCGAGAGCTCTCGCCAGACTGTCACCTGTCAATTCTGATCGTTTTCCAGCAGATGGCAAGCTCTCCTTGTCGATGCACCCAACAGGAGCAGCAGTCCTCAGCCTTGGCAGCTCCTTCTCTTAGGAGACAAGCTGTCCTGGCTCCTCCAGGGTATCGTACTGCAGGAGGAGATGATGCCCTGTGATGTTGTGCAAACACCCTGCAGTGTTCTCATGGTTTCATGCTGCACCCCCAGCCCAGAGGTGGTTCCTTGTCCGCCAAAAAAAAAAAAAAAAGGAGCAGGTTCAGGAAATGTGCTCCCTGGGCCCTGTATGCCAGCTGGGTTCTGTCAAGGGCTCTGCAAAGCCCTGTTGAGAAGCTTCAGGCCAGAAGTGCCTAGGGAGACACAGCTGTGCCTGCCATGGGCTAAAAGACCTGGAGGCTGCAGCTTTCTTGGACACCACAGAAAAGGATAGTTTATCCTTATTTTGGGGAAGAGAAATATGTTATTTCACTTCTAGGGCAAGCAATCATTATCTGCACCAAGCACTCTGACAGGGATCACGGACAATAAGGCAAAAAAAGCAGAGCAAGGCTGTCTCCCCAGTGCTCCTCCCAGCTGCTTGTAGGAAAGTATCATACCCGCAGCTAATGTTCTTCCCATCCTTTTCCTGGCTCTTGGGCAAAGCAAAAAAAAATGTGGAGATGGCTGGTGGGGTGATTTTATCCTGGGTGCTCCCCAGGAGGGACCCAGTGCAGCCCTGTGTGGCATGCCTGGAGACTGGATGCACAAAGCTTTCTCAGTTGACATGCAAACACAAAGCCAGGCTGTTCAGGATAGCTCCTGCCCCTGCACCCTGCAGGCAGGAGCCTGCTCTCCAGCAGCTCCTCTTGCTTTCAACCTGCCCCAGATGAGCACACTAGCAAAAGGACAGGAACTCTTTGGAGGCAGCCAGAAGCTCAGCTGGCAAGAGTCAAAGCAAGCAGCTGTCCCCAAACGTGAGGGCACTGGTGGTGATGCTCATTCCCAAGAGTCTTTATTAGATGTGTCTAAGTCTTCCTCCAGTTCTGATGGATAGCTGCTGCAGGTTTCTTTGATCCCCTTCCCAGACCTATAAACTCTTTGCCTCCCTTTTCTGGACTGATGCCCAGGACTTTCATGTATGTGTTCAGAGTGAAGACTTCCCCCCAGGATTTCTCCCCACGTTTTTTTATGCTAACCCAAAAGCTTGATCTTATCCCTTTTAGATCAGTGTTATAGACAGACAGGGAAAACACTGCTGTCTCGACCTCTTGGGACAGGAGGGCATCAGTTAGGGGACATGCACCCAGAGGAGCTTCTGTCTTTCAGAGGAAGGCAAACCCCTTCACTGCTGGCATGGGAGAAGGCGATGCTTTCTCACCCCAACTAGTCTGGAGCACAGGAGACTCCCAATTTTGCATTTACACCTCATGTACAGACTCACCTACATTTCCAGAGAGGAGCCCAGCTAGCACTAGCACTAGCACCAGGAGGGAAGTGGGAAAATCAGTTTTGCATGAGAGGAATCTCATCCTAGCCCTTGCAGGAAGCCAGGAAAAGCTCAGCAGCACGGGATTCAATCATGCTCATTGAAGTTACATCTCCGTGTGAAATGTTTGGTGGCAAGCCCTGCCCTGCTCACCATGCCCACATGTGCCCATGCACGGCTTGATGCAAGACAGTATTTTTTGTCTGTCTCTGAATCAGTAGTGATGGGTGTTTAATGAAACGGGAACTACTGACTCAGGCATTTCCCCTTCAAGCCCCAAAGCATGTCCTGGCCATGTCCTGCTCTGTGATCTCAGCAGGCTCTGAGGTGGACACGGTCAAAGCCATTTGCCTTCCACTGTGGTGAGCAGCTAGAGTCCTCCCTGACGGGAGTTCACTCTCTCTACATTCAGCACTTCTTTGCTTCCTTCCAGGGCCCACAACATACACGAGCTCTCTGAACTTCTCCAATGGTTTTGTACCCTCAGAACAAAACATCTTCTGATCCTCCTTATGGTTCAGCCAGCAAAGGCCCCCAGAACACCTGGGAGTGAGACAGTGCTCAGGAGCAGGACCTCCACCTCTTCTTGAGGACTGCTGCTGTTTCCCCCTCTCTCTTCAAAACACTTAGGTGACATCTGTATTAATGAAGGAAATATGCCCCAGAAATATACCATGGCACAGCACAGCGGTGTCTGTCAAGCTCTCTTATCCTTCAAAATATGGTGGTCACGTGCAAACAGCGTATCAGGAATGGTCCCTGGCACATCTTCACTCCCAGATCAGACCAGGAATTGTCTGGAGAGTGCTAGTGGACAGGGGCTGCTCTAACAATGTGGCTACGTGGAAGACCAAGTGCCAGTGACCCAGGAACGTACCTAGCACTGTAACTTTTCCAATCTGTACTAGTCTGAAGATCTTTAGAGCCAGTCTGTACTGGGAGGCTAACCCTGCCAGCAGGTCATTTAGTTCCAATACTGAACTTCTGCCTCTCATTCTTCCCCTTCAGCTCCATGCTCTCCTCTCAACAAGGCAGCTTTCCACAAATCTCCTCTCTTTTGTTCTGGAAACATTACCACACTGATATCTCATTGTCCAGCTGTCCTTCTCCTCTTTAGTCCATCTATAGGATTTGCTTCCTATCTATAGTGCTCCCACACTGAGGTCCGGCTGAGGGTCGTCGACTCTTGACCCCATGCCAGTGTCCTCACTAGACTGATGCAAGAAGTTTTTCCTCCAGTACAAACCTATTGTAAAAATATTGAAGGACTGCTTCCTTCTTTTCAAATGGACTTTATTTAATTAAGTCTCGCTCCTGCTCCATTTCCTCAGAAGATCACAGCACTGTAAGCTGCAAGCAGACACTGGAGCATCTCCAGTGCCTGAGGCACCAGCAGCATCCAGGAAGAGACTATGCTGGACCCACCCCGAGGATCCTA